CTGTAGTGCTGAGGATCAAACTGGGCCGCAGGCATGCCAGGTGAGCGCGCTACCACTTGAGCCACATCCCCAGCCCCCAAAATAAAAAATTTTTAAAAAGCAGGGGTCAGGGATGTGGCTCAGTGGTTAAGCACCCCACGTTCAATTCCAGGCAGCAAATCAAAAAAGAACAAAAACAAAAGAAAGTCATGGACACTAGGATCCAAAACACTATAAAAGAAATACAACAAAATGAGAAAAAAATATTCACATCATCTGACAATAGCTCTAATACATAAAGAGCTCATATAAAGTAAGAACAAGTTGGATATGATGGAGCAGGGGAGGCTGACGCAGGAGGATGGCAAGTTCAAGGACAGCCTCAGAGCTCAGAGTGTAGCTCAGTGGGAGAGAGCCCCTGGATTAAATCCCAGGTACCACCAAAAAAAGAGAGATAACACACACCAGAACACTAAAAAAGGGGCAAAGGGTATCAACAGTTTTCCATTCATTTCTTTCTTTCTTTCTTTTTTAAAGAGAGAGGGAGAGAGAGGGAGAGGAAGAGAGTGAGAGAGTTTTAATATTTATTTTTTAGTATTTGGCGGACACAACATCTTTGTTTGTATGTGGTGCTGAGGATCAAACCCGGGCCCCACGCATGCCAGGCGGGCGCGCTACCACTTGAGCCACATCCCCAGCCTGCATTCATTTATTTCAATATCATGAGAACCAGAACCAAAGGCAAAAGAAGCTCAACTTTATTAATTGAAGAAAAGTAAATTAAGAAAATAATTTCAGGGGCTGGGGTTGTTGCTAGGTGGTACAGAGCTCATCTAACATGGGTGAGGCAGGGGGTTGGATCCTCAGTACCACATAAAAATAAAGGTATTGTGTCTACCTACAACCAGAAAAATTTTTTTTAAATAATAATAATTTCAGACCCTATCTCTCTCATTCACCAATGTATCCCTTGAACTTGACAAGCAATTAGAACTCAATAAAAATTTCTTAAATTAATGAATATTTGGGGCTGGGGTTGTGGCTTAGAGGTAGAGAGCTCACCTAGCATATGTGAAGCACTGGGTTCAAACCTCAGCACCATATAAATATAAAATAAAGACACTGTGTCCACCTATAACTAAAAATCAAATATTTTTTTTAGAGAATCTTTTTTAATATTTATTTTTTAGTTTTCAGCGGACACAACACCTTTGTTTGTATGTGGTGCTGAGGATCGAACCTGGGTCGCACACATGCCAGGTGAGCGCACTACCGCTTGAGCCACATCCCCAGCCCGAAAAAATCAAATATTTTTTAAGAAGTAATGAATACTTGTGGTTAGTTTGAATGTAGAAAAAAGGCCCTTTCCTGAACAGTCCTATCTTTCAAAACTTGTACATATGTATACCTTTGGGCCTAGAAATTCTACCTATTGGAATTTACATTAAAATCTCACATAAGTGTACTTTATAATTGTAAGACCATCTCATGTAACATTTATAATAAATGAGAGACAACCTGAATGTCCACCAGTAAGGAGCTAAGCAATAATAAATGAGAAACAACCTGAATGTCCACCGATTAGGAGCTAAGCTAGTTGAATAAATGATGGTAAGCAAACATTACATAGCCATTTAAAAAGATGCGAAACTAATGAGCCAGGTACAGTAGCATACATCTATAATCCTAGTTACTTGCTACTTGGAAGGATAAAGCAGGAGTTTAAGGTCAGCACTGGTAATTTAGTGAGACTTTGTCTCAAAGCAAAATATAAAAAGGGCTGAGGATATAGGGTGGGGGTAAAGCATCCCTGGGTTTAATCCCCAGAACAATGTAAAAAGAAAAGGAAAAAAGGGGGGTCTAGGATTCTGGCTCAGTGTTAGAGCACTTGCCCAGTACGTGTGAGGCACTGAGTTCAATAATAAAATATTTGACTCACAAATCCACACAAAGTGCTGATCAAGATTATTCCTATTATCTAGGGAGTTCATTAAAGAAATATAGTCTTACCTGCAACAGGGATATCACTATGTATTCACTTCCAAGTCATTTATAATAATGTTATATAATACCATTTCAGGTAGCAAAATTGAAAATAGCACTACTGTATTTAGAATTCTGTCCAAGAAAAAAGTTCTTTCATTACTATTATTTTCTTTCTCTTGTTCTTGAGTCATTTCCCCAGTGATTATCACATAATGTACCTTCGCCTCCAAAGATCATTCATCAAAATTTTATCAAAGACGTCTGAAAGAATTTAAATAACTTATATTCATTTGCCTTTCTGACCATATTCATATTTACCTCTTTAAACATTTTACTTAATTTAAGCATGATTTTCCCTTTAATGCTACTCCTCTAACTCAAAACATTAATTTACTAAGTGTTCAATTATCTATTTCTTAATGAGAGAATCCACTTACTCTATGGATATACTTACCCTACCAGAAAACTAGACACTTCACAGCAAATTGCAAGGCTGAATTCGGAACAGTAGTTTGACACATAATGAAAGTGATCAATGCTACATACTAAAATTCAACTGCCAATTCAGTAGCAAAGACCTATCAAAAACAGGGAGCTGAAATCAATCACAAATTATTACACCATACAAGAAATTATACTTACATTTCGATGAAACTGTGTAAAAGACTGAATCATGTAGAATCGATGCATGTATACTATAGCTGTGTTGATAGTCAATTGTGAGCTGAAGTACTCAAGTTAAGGTCCAAATCAAGTAAATAGGCAGCATAATTCCCAAAACATAATCTGTCTCCCTCGACAAAAAGACCAGATGGCCAAGCACAGTCCTAACTGAAAATCATACTTACCTTTCCAAATAAAAAGGAGGTGTTGTTTTCTTTTGCCAAAATTACTAACTGCCTATTGACAGCATAATTCCTTCTACATAAGGGGTATTTAATATAAATTTACTGAATGAACAAACAACAACAAAATAAACTTCTCAGGATGAGAATCAAGATTTATAACAAAACTAATTTTTAGAACTTTCGGTCATTTACCTTCTATAAATCCTGTAATGACGATCCGATACCTCAGGTCATCTCTTTAACAAGTTTTACTAGGTCTTCCCTAATTTGGCCCCTGGGCATATTTCCACTATCTCTCACTTTCAATTCCACTTCTCCCTGCATTTTCACCTGGTGATCCTGATGGTTAGAAACACTGTGAAATGAATTGATATTCATTTACTAAAAATAAAACATTTTTCAAACACTGCACTTGCCTGCACTCTCCCTCTGAGCTATATAGAAAAATTTTTAAGTGCTTTACTTCTAAAGATGTCAGCAGGTCTGGGAATGGAGCACATCGGTAGAGCACTTGCCTACTAGCTTGGGTGAAGCCCTAGATTTGATCTCTAGCAGCACAAAAAAATAAAGACCTCAGCAGACAATGTGCTCAGTGTGCAGTAAAAAGATGACACAGTCCCATAATGGCAACAACCTAAATACTACAAAAGGAATTTTAAGGATACACTGAAATAGAACTAGGGGGTTGGGGGTTTAATTCCACAGACTGGATGCTTAGGAAACAAACTGGCATTAAAGAGGACACCTATTTTGAAGCAAACACATCCTTAAGGCACAAGCAACACAGTCTGCAACGAATTTAAGTGAAAGCTGCATAAACAGAAGCTTCACCAAGAAAAAAAAAATAAAGCAGAGTGAAAATAACTTTATATTAGTTTTCTCGGCCACAAAATAAGTAAATTTTCTGACAAATAAAAATAAATTGCCTAATCTTTGAAACATGACGAAAACGAATACTCGCCAGTACCCTGAGTAACTTAAGGGCACAACATTTGGTAAGCTAAACATTAGATCCATAGGTCTAAATCCCTCCAAACCTAAATTGACTTTTCTAACTTTGAAATTCTATAACACTCTAGCAAACAACTACTATTTGAACGTCTGAATGCTAAGCATTTTGAGGGGCACAGAATCAAATGCAAGAGGTGTCCATTTTACAGACAAGACAGCCAAGAACTTAACAGGTTATCTGCATAGCTATGAAGTAGGAGGAACGGATTTTGAACCAACGATGAGACCCTGCCTAGTTCAGCTTTGTCCCGAAACTATTTTTTACACACTAAGTTTGGGGGGCAGACGTCAACAGTGAAACTTCTACCAGACTCCTAAGACACAGAAGAAAGGAGAATCTCAAAGTCACGAAACCAGGTCAGAACACAGTGAAGAAGGCCTAAGAAGGATTGGCTAAAACACAAAGCCAGGAAAAGATACGAATTCCCGGCAAGGTTGGTGGCACGGGTGAGCGAGCGGGAAATTGACTCCGCCTCGCTTCCCTCGCATGAACAGCTTCGGTCTGCCCCATCGTGGGCTCTCCCCACTAGACATCCAGCTTCTGCCGACCTTCTTACCCCCTTCCTTCCCCGCCAGAGCCTGAGGCCTGAATGCCGGGGCAGTGCAGAACCGACTCCAAGGCCGAAGGCCTAGGCCACAAGGATACACGTTAAGACGTTGTCCCATGTCCTGAAGAAGATTGGCCGCCTGCTGGCGATAAGAAAGTTCTTTATCTGGGTCCAGGCCAAAACGACGGGATGGGCTATTTTCCAGCTGTTCTCGAGTAAAATACCACCGTTTGTTGTTGTTCTTCCTCTCTCCCTCCATAGCGCTTCAACTAGAAGGCAGCGGCGGAGGCTGCAAGCACTTCCCAGCGTCACCTCAGGGGCGACACACATCCGCTGTGCGGAGACAACTGCGACGTGACGAACTTCCGCTACGAATCGACCGCCAGGTCGGACAAGCTTCCGCTAAGGAAGCGAAAGTCAAAGCGTCTACTTCCGGAATGGACCTCGCGACACACTATAGCCAAGTTAACAGCCAGTCGGATACCAGGAGAGACCTTAAGGCGAAGACGCAGGCGCGAATCACGTGACGCTACGGAGGTAGGGTGGAATTATAAATTCTCGTGTCAAAACCACGTCTTTCCCCGCGAGAACGTGGTTGAGTCTTAGCGGCCTGGGCTGAGCTGCCAGGCAACAGTTCGGCGCCGAGAGGCATAGGCTCTCGCGCAGCATTGCTGCCGCTCTCCCCACGCCCAGAACTTCCCTCTGGGCGAACGTGACGATATGAAATATGGCAGATGGAGAGCTTGGTAGAGAAAATAGGTCAGAAAAATGAAAAAAGTAATAGTAGCCCTATAGTATCTCGAACCAATAAGATGAAACCATATAGCAAACACTCTGGGCACGGTGGCACAGTCCTGTAATTCTAGCTACTCTGGAAGCTAAGGCAGAATGGCAAGTTGGAGGCCAGCACGGGCAATTGAGTGAAACTCTGCCTCAAAAAGGGCTGAGGGTGTATGTCAGCGTTAGAACACTTTTGCTAACATCCTCGAGTCCCTGAATGGAATCCTCAGTACGACAAAAAAAAAAAAAAAAGAAAGAAAGAAAGAAAAAGAAAAAGTAGTGATAACTACCAAAAGAATGAGTTTTTTATAAACTTGGATTCAATCCCAGCTTTTCCTCCATCCCTACCATCTTTCGTACAACTATTTGTAAATGTATAGTTTAGTAGCTTCATTTGTATTCACACTGTCATGCAACAGCTCTCTAGAACTACTTTTTCATCTTGCAAAACAAATTGCCAAGCAGCTCAGGAGGCTTAGACAGGAGGATCAGGAGTTCAAAGCCAGTCTCAACAATTTAGCGAGGCACTTAGCAACTCAGCGAGACCCTATCTCTAATGAAAATATATTTTTTTAAAAAAGTGCTGGGATTGTGGCTCAGGGGTTAAGCACCCCTGGGTTTAATCCCCAATACCAAAAAAAAAAAAAAAAAAACAGACTCCCTTGAACAGCTCCCCATTGCTTTCCTATAAGCCTCTGGCAACTAGCATTCTTCATTCTTTTTGACTCTAACTACTTGGATGCTTCATATAAGTGGAATCATACAGATTTGTCTTTTTTATGACTGGCTTTTTTTACTTAGTGTAATATCTTAAAAAATCCCAGCTATTCTTTCACCTAGCTCGTGATCTGGAATATCACCTCGGTTTCTTCAAAAAACACCAACAGGATGTGGGCCAGGCATATAGGAGGTGTTTAGTGCATATTGATTGTCTAAATAATGTTAGCTAATGGTGGTACTGAGGATTCCATACATTGCTCTTAAAGGACAATTGATAAAAATCTTAAACCAGAGGAATTTCTCTTTTCTTCTTTTAAAAATTTACTAATATATGCCGGGAGCAGTGGCACACACCTGTAATCCCAGAGGCTTGGGACACTAAGACTGGAGGATCTCGAGTTCAAAGCCGCCCTCAGCAAAAGCGAGGTGCTAAGCAACTCAGTGAGACCCTGTCTCTAACTAAAATACAAAATAGGGCTGGAGAAGTGGGTTAGTAGTTGAGTACCCCTGAGTTCAATCCCCAGTATCCCCCACCCAAAAAAAAAATTTTTTAATACAAAGGATACATAGTATGCAACTTAACATAAAATGTATAATCTTTATTTTAAATTTCCTATAACCAACTGAATCTCACAAAATGCTTTCAGTTTTGCCAAGCTCTTGAATCACAAGTCAACCTACAGTTGCATTTAACAAGTGAGTATAGTTTTGGACTATTCACTGATATTTTCATTTGCGTGAATAAGATGGAAATGAAAATGAGACTTGTATAGGAACTTCATTAATTTGCCAGCGACTTGAGGAACATCTTTGCTGAATTGTATAATTTTTGAACACTGGAAGAGTTTCAATGTTGCTATTGGACAGTGTAATAGCTATAGATATGATACACTTTTAATATACATTATTAACATTTTCTCAACTTTCTTTTTAAAAACATTTAGTTAGTTGTAGTTGGACACAATACCTTTGTTTTATTTATTTGTTTGTTTTTATGTGGTGCTGAGGATCGAACCCAGGGTCTCACGCGTGCTAGGCGAATGCTCTACTGCTGAGCCACAACCCCAGCCCTTTCTCAGGTTTCTTAAGTCTAGACTGTCAACAGAATGAGTAAGTCCAGCCTTATCTAACATTGTCAATTTCTGTGGTGTACATTCTCCCACCATGGCTGATTTCAATCTATCAGTATGCAGCATCCCTGAAAATGAAACTGAAGAGAGGTGTATGCATCATCACACAGTATTTCCTCAAGACCAATTCAATAGTTTAGGTTTTCTAGTTTCTTGTCTTGATATGGAAAGAGCTTAGAAATCATCACTCCCAGACTGGGGATGGAGCTCAGTGTTAGAGCACTTGCCTGACATATATTGCGCCCTGGGTTCAATCCCTAGTAACTGAAAAAAAAAAATTAAAAGTGATCGGGTCCATCCTTACAAGAAAAAAGACAAATTTAACAATCCTTCTTGACTCATTAGAGAATTAAGGTTTTATAGTACAAACCACCTTATCCCCCAAGATGGAAAAACAGATGAAATCAGAAAAAAAGAACAGAAAGTCATGACTACTAAGAGCAAAAATTACTATGGGAACCAGTAACTCATAGGAATACTTAATAGCATAATTGACTAATTGCTGACAACTAAACACAGACTAGCTTGAGAGATTTAAAAAAAAAAAAAAAAAAAACTTTGGGGGCTGGGGATGTGGCTCAAGCGGTAACGCACTTGCCTGGCATACGCAGGGCGCTGGGTTCGATCCTCAGCACCACATAAAATAAAAATAAAGATGTTGCATCTGCCGAAAACTGAACAATAAATATTTTTTAAAATAAATAAATAAATAACTCTTGGGGGCCCATCCTTAAGTGGTCACTCATGTTTTTATACATTTTACCTGGAGTCTCACTGAAGACTGAAGAAAAAATCCTTTCATGCTTCCAGTAGGGAGAGGGGAAAGTAGTCATTTTGCAGTATGGCATCCTGTTCTTAACAAAGATATGCTTCTCAAGAAAAAAATTTTAACAGAAACTTGGGTTTTTACCAGATCCTATCTAATGTGGGAAGAAGGAATTACCCAACTGCAGTCTCCTATAACCTTCCTTTTTCACTTCATATTTTTCTTACAACTAGACACACATACGGCAGAAATTTTGGAATTATCCGACTGAGAATTTAAAATAACTATGATTAATATGTTAAAGACCCTAATGGAAAAAGTGGACAACACACAAGAACAGGTGGGTAATGTTAGCAGAGACATGAAAACTAAGAATCAAGCTGGGCATGGTGACACACACCTGTAATACCAGTTGTTAGAAGACATGCATGAGGATAGCAAGTTCAAAACCAACCAGGGCAATTTAGCAAAACCCTGTCTCAAAAATAAAACAAAAGGGCTCAGGATATAGAACAGTCATAGGTTCAATTCCCAGTACTGCAAAAAAATATAAAAAATAAAATAAAAGGAAAAGGATAAAGAAAGAAAAGAAAAGGCTAGAAATCAACAGAAAACAATGTCTTTGGTGGATTCATCAATAGACTGGAGATGACACAGAAAGAATCAGTTGGCTTGAAAATATGTCAATAGAAACTTCCTAAGCTGAAAAACAAAGAGAATAAAGTATGAAAAAAAAAAGCAGAATATACAGATACAATAAAAGTAAATAAACTTATGATTATAGATAATAGTAAAACAATTAGAAAATGATAAGTTTTTAATATTTGCTACCTTTAATTTTTAATATAACATTCAATTTTTTAAGTTTATATCATTCAATTTTTAATAATAACATTTTTAAAAAGCTTGCAAAATTAATGAAAATTTGACAAGCTCTTGAAAGTCAGCATCAGCTGACACACCACTGATAAAATAAAGATTCATTGGAAATATCATATTTAGATTTAAATACTCTCTGTTAAGTTTCTATTACATGCTGAACCTTGTGGTAAGGAGTTTGTATATATTATTTCATTTTTATAACTGATATCATCATTGCCATTTTTTAAAATTAAAATTAAAAACTGAGGCTTGATTAATCTATACAAAGGCAGACACTTAAAGTATAACAAAACTAACGTTTGAACCCAAGTTATTGTTCTTTCTATTCACTGCTTTCTGAGGCTTACAGTATGAGACTAGGACAAAGAAAAGGATATTGACTCTTGGTTCTTCCATTTTCTTCCAACTCTACTGTGAACCCAGGAATTCTGTGCCTGATTAGACAAAGGAAGTGTCAATCACAATGATTCTTCAGGACATTACTATGGTTACCAAACAGTGCTCCAGGCTGGACATTCCAGAAGAGGACAAGGAGGAACCAAGATGGCCTTCTTCAACTTATATCTATTGGGATATCAACATCCCTTTCGGAACAAAAAAAGGGACATAACTGAAGAAACAAGTAAGGGTAATGTAGAATAGAGGGTTAGAATGGCCACTTGTTTTCCTAGACATTTCCACTGATCAGTTTGTAGCTACTTCCTTTCCTACCTTTGGTTAGAGATTTATCCTATCAACAAGGTCAACATTTACCCTAATTAAAATTTTGGAGCAAGGACATCCATTCCCTTCATTTTTCTGTCATTTAATATCAAATAAATGTATTCTTATTCATTCATTTGCTCATTTAGCCAACATATATTAAGCACACAGTTGTGTGCCAGGCTTTATATTGCTGACCAGGGTTAAAAGATGAATAAAGAAGGCTTCTACTATCTAATTAGGAAGATAAGTATGCAAACAAAAAATAATATATGATTAAATATGGACTTATGTATACTATTGGGTTTGGAATAAGAATATGGGGATCCTTTAAAGAAGATGTCACAGAGGAAATGCTTCTAAACTGAGTGTTAAAAGGATGACTAAAGTTCATCAAGTAAACAAGAAGAGAATACAGACAGAACAGAGACCTTGAGAAACATATTAAGTGAATTCCAAGCACTTAGGTACAGATGAAGGGTAAAATGGAGAGGTGCTAGGAGGCAGACCTTGAAAACTAGTTACAAGACAGATAATTGAAGATGCTGTTAACCATGCTAAGCATTTTAACTTTATAGGGGAATGTTGAACTTAGTAAATATTAGATCTGTATTGTACTCACGATGCCTAGCTGTTCCTCATACATAATAGAGGTTTAATAAATATTTATGGGGTGAATGAATAAATGATTTTGAATGACTATAAAAATAGGAAGCTAGGGGAGACTTTGCAGGAGATATGAGAATTTATTTAGGTCTTAAATGATGAATTGTCCAAAAGCACAGAAATTGAGGGAAAGGATCTTTCAGGTAGAATGGGACCATGTAAATGAACATGGTGTTCATAAGTGTAGATGGATGCTAAGCAAAAGCTGTATTGGGTAGGAGAAGAGGTGATCAGGAAAGTATAAAAGCGCAAAGATTATAAAGGACAATCTATATATTAAACAGTCCTCCAATAGGCACTCTCTGACCTCTAATTCCACCAAAGTTCTATTCTACTATTCACCTTCCAGGTAAGATTTATACAAAGATCCCAGTGATGGACCCTAGAAATCCCTTAATAACCCTATTCCAACCCTTTCCACTCTTCTTGCCCCCATTCCTTCTGGGTCCCAGCATTACACCATGGGGCTGTTTTCAAATAAAGAGGTGCTCTTCTGGACCTCTCTCAGAAAAACACTCCCCTTTGGGAAACAGACCAATTTCCCTTGCTCCACCCTCTCCTGGCTGCTGTAATCCTACTACTTTTACTAGATGGGCCTGCATCACCATAAACAAACTGGGATTTTCCTACCCTGTAAATCACTTAAACACTGGTAAGGGCTGAGGGTGTAGCTTGGTAGAACAATACTTGCCTAGCATGTGCAAGGCCCTGGGTTCAATCCCTAGCATCCAAAGGTCTGAGCCTTTGAATTAATTTCTTTGTAGGTGAGGCAGAGAGGAAGACTTCACTTTATATAAAGTCCTCTATGAGATGATAGGGAAGTATCCTGATATCACCTGCTTACTCAAGTTTTTTCATTCTGTTGTTGGAGCATCAGAGACAGGAGCCTTGGTCAAATTGGTGGCCTACATAGAATGTGAAGTTAAAGGGACAGTACAACAAATTTGCTATTCCTACTCCCTGTTTATTTCCCTTCCAGAGGGTTAGGCACGGTGGCACACAGCTGTAATCCCAGCTACACAGGAGGCTGATGCAGAATGATCACAAGTTCAAGGCCAACCTCAGCAAAACCCTCTCTCAAAATTAAAAAATAAAAAGGTCTGGAGATGTAGCTCAGGGTAGAGTACCCATGAGTTCAATCTCTAGTACTGAAAAAAATAAAAGGACAGAAGATTTTCACTTGATAATTTCTAATTATCAATACTTTTGATTCAAGTATTTAATGATAAACAACTATTTACTACGTATGTAAGAGGCATATTTATGAGTCCTGAATGGTTTAGATTTATTTTTTATCTTTTTTTAATTTAAACTTGGAATTGAACCCAGGGTGCTTTTCCACTAAGCTGCATCCCTAGCCTTTTTATTTTTTATTTTGTGACAGGATCTTATTATATCATCCCTGAAGGTTAATGCCATCAGGAGGAGGAGGAGGAGGAGGATATGATGTCATTTTAGTAAATTTGAAATGGAAAAGAAAAATCTCATATGGTCAGTCCACCATTTTTCAGAATTTTTTTAATGATATAATGTCAAAATTATAGAAAAGTTATGATGTAAGGCTAATATAAGGAGATTCCCTATACCTTTTACCCAAATTAACGAATTAGTAATATTTTTCCACTCTTTGAGTCTGGGATGTAGTTCAGTGTTGGAACACTTGTCTAGCACATGCATGACCCAAGTTCAATCCCCAGCACCACATACACATGCACACGTACACACACACACACACACACACACACACACACACAAGCCACTTTGTCTTGTCTCTTATCTATTTATCTAATATCTTTCTCAGCTAATTGAGAATGAGTTGCTCATAACTCTTTACTACTAAATATTTCTGTTTGATTTCTTAAGAACAACAACAACTTATACACAGTACAGGTTTCAATTCAGCAAATCTTAACATAGATACAATATTATCTAACTAGATAGTCCATATTCCAATTTTTTGCCAATTGTTCTGTTAATATCATTTAGAGCACATTTTTCCTTCCATGATGTAGGAAAGGTTCATGTGTTGATTAATTGTTGAATTTAGTGAGCTTGTCTCTTCAGTCTCCTTTAATCTGGAACAGTTTCTTGTTGTTTCATAATACTGACATTTTTGTAATAGCACAGATGAGACATTTTGTGGAATATTCCTTAATTTTGGTTTGTCTGATGTTTCGCATGATTAGATCTGGTTTAAGCATTTTTGCAGGAATAAGTGACATTGTGTGCTCAGTACACCATATAAGGGCTTATTGTGTTATTTTTAGCCCATTACTGATGATGTTAACTTTGACCATTTAAAGTGATTTGCCAGTTTTCTCCACTGTTGAGCTACCATTTTCCTTTTGTAATTAATAATTTCTGATACTTTGAAAAAATGTAAATATCCTATTATTCATCATACTTTCACCCACTAGTTTTATTTTTTATTTTTTTTTTAATAAACATGTTTTTTTTAAGAGAGAGAGAGATAGGGGGAGAGAGAGAAAGAGAGAGAATTTTTTTTTTAATATTTATTTTTTAGTTCTCGGTGGACACAACATCTTTGTTGGTATGTGGTGCTGAGGATCGAACCCGGGCCGCACGCATGCCAGAAGAGCGCGCTACCACTTGAACCACATCCCCAGCCCCACCCACTAGTTTTAGTATCCATTAATGGTTCTGTGTGAATTAATTATTTCTATGATAGTGGTAAAATGGTGATTTTTCTAATTGTAGTAGACTTTTTTTTTAAGAGAGAGAGAATTTTAATATTATTTATGTATTTTTTTTTTTTTTAGTTTTCGGCGGACACAACATCTTTGTTTGTATGTGGTGCTGAGGATCAAACCCGGGCCACATGCATGCCAGGCAAGCGCACTACCGCTTGAGCCATATCCCCAGCCCCTGTAGTAGACTTTAACTCAAAATTTACAGGAATGTGGTTTTGTTTTGTTGTGTTGTGTTGTGTTGTGTTTGTGTGTTTGGGGCTGTGTGGGAGGGGTTGGGAGGATAGAACCCAATGGCACTCTACCACTTCTTTTTATTTTTTATTTTGAGACAGGGTCTCACTATGTTGCCAAGGCTGGCCTTGAACTTGAATCCTCCTGTCTCAACCTCCCAAGTCACTAGTATTACAGGCATTGTCACCGTTCCTGGCTACAGCAATGTTTTAAGTGACCTACCTTAATTGAATTTTTTAAATATATTTATGTTTTAGTTGTAGTTGGACACAATACCTTTATTTTATTTTTATGTGGTGCTGAGGATCGAACCCAGGGTCTCGCATATGCTAGGCAAGCGCTCTACCACTGAGCCACAACCCCAGCCCCTTCATTGAACTTTTCTAGAACATTCAATTTGGTTTTTGTAGAAACACCTGCTCTTTTTTTTTTTTAACACTTTTTATTAGTTTAAATAATATTTCACTAAATTTAAAATGACAATCATAAAGCTAACCTGAGTAAATTGGGGTTTTTTGGAAGGGGGTCACAACAGACTCTTGGTAAGCTTGAAGTTCAACTGTGGGAGCAGAAGAATGCAGGTATTCTAGAAATAGCTCTCAGCTACATTGGGAGTGTTACAGGTATCTTTAAAATGTTTTCAGAGGAAATGGAGACCATAAATTAATCTGGCAATCCTAATAAATGAAGCATTCTTAGGAGAATTTATACTGCATATAATTTTGAGCTATTCATATTTAATGTTCTGAAATACCTCAAGAAACTAGGATTTCTTGCCAAGTGTGGTGGTGCATGCTTGCAACCCCAGTGACTCTAAAGGCTGAGGCAGAAAGATTGAAGTTCAAGGCCAGCCTTAGCTACTTAAATAGGCCTTAGGTAACTTAGCAAAACCCTGTCTCAAAATAAAAAATAAAGGGCTGTGGGTGTAGCTCAGAGGTAAATTGAATCCCCAGTACCCAAAAAAAAAAAAAAAACTGGAGACATCTTTATTAATGACTAATAAAAACTTAAATGACCTTGCCCTTAACCAGGTTGGAGGCTACTAAATCCAATATGAGGGACAGGAGAGGAAATAATGTCAAATTCCCTTTCCAGACAGTTCAGACTTTCAGAATTCCTTGTGGTAAAATATCACCCAAATATAATGACAAATATTGACAAGCTGTCCCAAAATTCAGATGGACCCAGAATAGACAAGGCAATCTTGAACAAAGACACTTCTTAATTTAAAATATTCTACAAAGCTAAAGTAATCAAGACAGTAGGGAACTGTCATAAGGATTAACATAGATCAATAGAATAGAATTTAGAATCCGGAAGTAAACCCTACACTTTATGGTCAATTGACTTTCAATGAGCATGCCAACACTTCAGTGATGAATAGTCTTTTCAACAAATGGTTCTGAAAAAAACTGAATATTACCATGCAAAAGAGTGAAATTATACCTCCGCATCACACTATGTACTAAAATTAACTCAAAATGGATATTAGATATAAATGTAAAACAGAAACTTTAAAACTCTAAGAATAAAATATAGAAGTAAATTTTGAAACTTTAGGCAATGGTTTTTTAGAAATGACACTAAAAACACAAGTGATAGAAGGAAAAATAGATAAATTGGATTTCCTCAAAACAAAATACTTGCCAGGTGCAGAGGTTCAAACCTGTAATCCCAGAAACTCAGGAGGCTAAGACAGGAGATCAGTTGCAGGCCAGCTTTGGTGTCTCAAAATAAAAATAAAAAGGGATGGGGATGTGGCTCAGTGGTAGAGAACCCCTGGATTCCATCCTCAGTATCAAAAAAAAAAAAAAATTTAGGGTTGGGTTTGTGGCTCAGTGGTGGAGCGCTTGCCTAGCATGTATGAGGCACTGGGTTTGATCCTTAGCACCACATAAAAATAAATTAATAAAATAAAGTTTAGTCATGTATGACTAAAAAAAATAAATAAAAATTTTAAAAAATAAAAATAAAAAAATAAAATAAAGTTTAAAAATTTATATGTTTGTATTATAAGAAAGATTTAAAATAAAGAAGTTTAAACCTTTGAGCCAGGTTTAATGAGCCAGGCGTGGTGGCACACACCTGTAATCCCAGCGGCTCAGGAGGCAGAGGCAGGAGGATTGCAAGTTCAAAGCCAGCCTTAGCAATTTAATGAGGCTCTGAGCAACTCAGTGAGGTCGTATCTCTAAATAAAATACAAAATTGGGCTGAAGATATGGCTCTGTGGTCGAGTGCCCCTGAGTTCAATCCCTAGGACCAAAATAATAATAATAGTAGTAATAATGAAAGAAAATTAAACTCGTTAAACAAAAAAACATGAAAAAAGACTCTGGACCCAGGTAATTTTTATGAAAAAAATTTTTAAAAACAGATAATTCCATTTTAAGAGGCACAGAAAACAGTGTGAATAATTTATTAATTTTACCATATCAAAACAAAACTGATAAAATAATAAATATAATAAGAATATAGTACAAAAGAAGCCATAGACCAAAGTAAATATAAATTAACAAATCACACTAGCAGATAAAACTCAAGAATATTTTAAAAATAACATTTAAAATCAAGTCAGACTTATTTCAGGAATTCAGTCATGATTTAATATTAGATAATATATTACTATATAATACATTACACCTATATGTCAAATTAAATACACACACGCCCATGAAAACTGAAAAGACAATTGATATTTTAAAAAAAAACACTTTGTAAATTAAGAATTAAAGTGCCTCCAAGGTACTGAGGAGGTTGAGGAAAGAGGATTACAAGTTCCAGACCAGCATGGGGAACTTAGAGACATGTTATCTCAAAATAAAAAATCAAAAGGGCTGGGGATGTAGCTCAGTGGTAAAGTGTCCCTGGGTTCAATCCTTAATACCACCAAAAAAAAAAAGAGAGAGAGAGAAAAAAAAAGAATAAAAGCATGACCAAAGCTGGGCCTGGTGGCTGGCTCAGGAAACTAAGGCAAAAGGGGCCCTGGAGTTTGAGGGCAACATAGCAAGACCCTATCTAAAATTAAAAAGAAAGGATAATGGCTGGTATGATGGTGCATGCCTGTAATCCCAGCGGCTCTGGAGGCTAGGACAGGAGGATTGCAAGTTCAAAGCTAGCTTCAGCAAAAAGTGAGGTGCTAAGTAACTCAGTGAGACCCTGTCTCTAAATAAAATACAAAATAGGGCCAGGGATGTGGCTCAGTAGGCCAGTGCCCCTGAGTTCAATCCCTGGTACCAAAGAAAGAAAGAAAGGATGACCAATGTGTCTGATGAACACAGATGCAAAAAATTCTCAACAGAACACTAGCAAAGCAAATCAAGAAGATTATACACCATTATCTCATACAGGAGGTACAAGGATGTTTCAACATATATCAATCAACAAATTTAACATATTTACATCAACAGAGTAAAGGACAAACACCATATGATTATCTCAAAAGATATAGAAAAGTCATTTGCCGGATTTTCTGTTCTCAACTAAAAGGCTCAGGGGTGACCCACTCAAGGTAAACAGGGCTAACTGGGCTGCGTAAAAAAAACACACAAGAGACACAAATACCTTTTTCTTTGGGATTGCTATGATCACTCCTCTGACTTTAAGGGTCCGGAGGAAGAGAGAGATCAAGACACTCGCTGACCCCTTTTATTGAGGAGAAGCTATTCAAAGGAGGCAAGGGGCCAGGTTTCAGGGGGCTGAGTGTCTTCATGATGTCCACTGTAGGCCACACCCAAAAGCACAGTAAGAGAAGGGGACACACACAAGGCACTTCCATGGAAGATTCTATCCTAAACAGGGCAAGGGGTTATATTACAAAGGAACAGGTGAGCATAGCTCCACCCATGGGGCTATAGGAAGACACATGAGAAGACACAGTCGCTCAAACCCTAGAAGAGCGTGGCAGTCTAACAGCATGGGTGCCTGATGTCACATTGCCCTGCAGGGGAGTTAAGTCAGTCAAGTGCGAGGTTGGTCTCCACAGTCATTCGATCAAATTCAACATCACTTCATAATAAAAATACTGAACAAATTATATATGGAAAGAATGTGCTTCAACATAACAAAAGCCATATATAATTATTCAACATCATATTGAATTGGGGAATGAGGATGCCCACTTTCCCTACTTTTATTCAATGTAGTACCAAACACATATCCTACATATTCACATGTATAATTCATGTATTCAATAATATTCAGAATATATAAGAAACTCCTAAGTAAGGCACAAGTCTAGACTTCCCCTGTGAATTAGGGGGACCTCCCTTGACCATACAGTCCCTTCAATCTGTTGCACTCATTTCTTTCACCACCTTCCTCTCCCCACTCCTATCCACAATTATAACAAAACTGGAATGATAATTTTATACTAACAGCCTAGAGAAAAACACCTGTGCTGATTATCTTTCCAGTTTTGATCTGATTATGATCATAAAGTCGAATAGGCCTTCATGGCTGCCCAGAAGTCACACTACATTTCCTTTTTTATTTTCTGTGCTGGGGATTGAACCTATGGCTTCACACATGCTAGACAAACACTTTACCACTGAGTCACATCCCCAGTCCATGACTTACTTTCTATTTCACAGGGAAAATAAAAGCTATTGGAAGATAATTTCTAAAAGCTCTCACAAACCACATCTGTCTGTCTACCCACATATGTGCCCGTATCTTTTCTATTATAATGAATGGTCCACACACCTATTAAGACAAACCCTTCACTTGTGCACCAGATTCCATCTCTTTTTTTAATATACTTTATTTAGTTGTAGATGGACACTATATATTTATGTATGTATTTATTTTTACTTGGTGCTGAGGATTAAACCCAGTTCCTCATATGTGAGCCCCAGCCCCTCCATCTCTTTTTGACTACTCAAGGACACAATCTCACATTAATTTTACCACCTCTGATCATTTCTGTCTGTACACACACATGCTATAATTTCTTTTTTCCCTCTTCAAGCACCATCTTTCCTGCTTCCCTGACTCCCATCTCCATAGAGAAAATTCTCCAAAGGAGTTGTCTGTTCTTGTTGTACTTTGTTCTGCCATTCTCTCTTGAGCTTATTCCAGCCAGGTTCTTGCCCCCATCACTCCATTAAAACTGCCAGTATCCAGTCATCCGTAACTTAAATGTATTGCTAACATATAAAATTTTATTTCTCATCTTATTTATCATAACAGCAGAAATGTACAACAGAACTCAGATGGTTCTGAATCCTGGTGCTGCTGAAGTTGCTTGAAATAAATTGTCAGCTGAGAGGGGTTTAAGCCGGTGAACCTGTAGTAGGGGAAGTGCATCATACCTTACTAGTGCCTCAGAACTAGTTTGGGAAATTCACAAGGGGAGCAGGGAGATTATAAATAAAATATAGCATTCTTTTTTATTTCTAACAAGCCTATATACATTTTGTTTACCCCACTTTTTCTCATTCCAATTTATATATGCATTAATTCAGGGAACCCATAGTGCCTTGACTACTTACCCTTAGTTTCCACAAGCCAAACCATTTTTAAGCCACCCTTGTCTCCAGAATGATTCCTTAATCTTCAGTTATTTTCTAGCCAAACTCATCTTCTTAATTTCCCCCTTTATCCATAGTTTGACTTTCTGCTGTTTCAGATACCTGTCATCAATCACAGTCCAAAAATATTAAATGAAAAATTCCAGAAACAAACAATTCCTGTTTTAAATTATGCACTTTTGTGTGTGGGGGGGTGCTGGGGGTTGAACCCAGGGCCTTGGGCATGTAAGGCAATCACTCTACCAACTGAGCTATATCCCAAACCCCAATTGTGATTTTGAGTATAATGATAAAATCTTGCACTGTCCTGCATGGTACATAAATTGTCCCTTCGTCCAGTGTATCTGTGCTGTATATGCTACTTACCCGTTAGTCACTCATTGGTCATCTTGGTTTTCAAAACCACTATCACATTGCTGGTGTTCAAGTAACTCTTAATGTAGTAGCCCAAGATTTCATCCCAATGCTTACATCATTCACCTAACTTCATCTCATGGTGTAGGCACTATATTTTCTCACATCATCACAGAAGGGTAAGTACTGTAATAAGATTTTGAGAGACAGAACACATCCACATAAATTTTATTAGCGTATAATTGTCTTATTTTACTTAAGTATTGTTAATCTATAACTGTGGGGCACTCAACTACCAACCCACATCCTCAGCCCTATTTTGAATTTTATTAGAGATAGGGTCTCACTGAGTTGCTTAGCGCTTTGCTAAATTGCTGAGGTTGGCTTTAAACTCGCCTCCCAAGCTGAAATTACAGATGTGCACTACCACGCCTGACCATCCGTGCCTAATTTATAAATGAAAACTTTATCATAGGTACGTATGTACAGGAAAAAACATAAGATATCCAGGTTTGGGTAATATCCATTGTTTCAGGAACCCACTGGGAGTCTTGGAACATGTGTCCCTCAGATAAGGGGGATTAGTGTACATTCTTTCAAGCAACTTTTGTCTACCTGCTCTAGCACTTCCATCTGTTCTCTATGCTCAAATCAGCCACATTCTTACCTGGCTCCTCAGCTAGGCCTTTTACTGTAACTATTAAAAAAACCTATTATTATTCACTCTTTGCATTCCTAACACTAACTATCATGATACACTTTTAGGTCATTCACAATTTTTCTTTGAAAGATAGGTTGTTCTTTCTTCTAGTAGGTGTAAGTGTATTAACATTCAACTCAAAAGGGCCCACTCAGGCTTCCCTTATTATAGTCATAATGCAAAATCACAGAGGTGAGTCAACACATGTAATAAAAATCCTGCTAGTCCCACCTCATTTCTTTCTTTTCTTCCTGATAATCAAAATTGAAAAACCAAAGAGGAAAATATTGTATGAAGAGCATGTTTTAGTCTTTCCTCAACTTCAGAAACACAGTTTTATCAGGTACCCAAAATTATTCAGTTTGAGAGAGCTAAGCAAATTCCCAGTGCCTGTTTCCTTACTTGTAAGTAGAGGTCATAATGTCTACCTTGTATTATGGAGATTAAATAATGTATGCAATATACCTAATACCTAGCACATAAAGGTGTATAACAGATGATTGGAGGAAAAGTCATAAATCATATTAAAGTTAACTATTTATATATGGAATATGTTCCTTTCCTATGACTTGAATATCTTGGTCTACTGCCAAGACTGGATGCCTGGAAAACAGATTTTGGGTTGTTTTTTTCTTTGTTGTTGTTGTTGTCATTATTTTAGTACTGGGGATTGAACCCAGAGGTTCTTTACCACTGAGCTACATCCCCAGCCATTTTTTTTTTGAGGCAAGGCCTCACTGAGTTGCTTACAGCCTCACTAAGTTGCTGAGGCTGGCCTCAAACTTGCAATCCTGCCTCAGCCTCCCGAGTTGCCAGAATTACCTATGTGCACCCTGTTCCCAGCTGGAAAACAGGAAACACTGTTAACTGTTACTAAACTGTATTTTAGGGCTTTTTAAATACTCTTTTTAGTTGTTGATGGACCTTTGTTTAATGTATTTATTTATTGAGGAGCAAAAACTACTAGTTTCAAAGGATATTTCATCTAGTCCCTGAAAGAGCCTGATCAACTACAACTACCCACAGAAGAGCACCCCTGACCAATGACTAGAACTCTCATCCACCACCATTCCTGTCCCTCCCAGACTCACCCTTCCTAATCATAATCAGAGTTGTTCTGCAGGCTCAGCTTAGCTTCCAGAATTCATTCAGAATCTTATGCCCTGGTCTCTTGAGTATGTAAGTTTGCCTGGGTGAGCAAGTCTTTATATTTATGCCCCTTCCTTTGCTAAATCTGTTTCACCTCCTGCTTTGAGCCCTGTTCTCCTATCACTCTTAGCTTCATACCTACACACTCCTCTTGGTCCAAAAGTGTCTTGGTCAAGACCAATTTTCAAATAAACTGCCTCTAATCTGGCCCTTTGCTGGGATGACTTCCTTGCCTTATTATCTGAAGACCCTAGGTCAAGTTGGATCTCACAAGTACAGGAAGTCAGGACATTGCCCACTGAATGGAGTTCTCAGAGGCCAATGGATGGGGGTGGATGGTAGAGAGAAATTATGCTTGTTCTTTCTTGAAACAAATTACCTCTCCTGACAGACTCTAGTGACTGGCTTCTAACCACAGACACACAGACCTCCAAGCTCTGCACATCCAAAGGGCCTCAATCCAGTTTCTTCCATTGCTTGTCCTTATTCCCCTTCCCAGAGGAATTTACTAACAAGTCTTCAGAGTTGCTCTCACTTCTAGTTTCAAATTAATTTCTTCAATGAAAGGTTAATCTCAAGACTGGTAAAAAGCTGAATACAACTAACTCTCTTATGTTCTTATTTTCTGAATCCTGTCATAGGATGCAACAGTTGCTTTCCCAATCCTGGTTGGAATGTCTTCTGCTCAATCTCCTAGGCCTCCTGGCCTCTTTGAGCTCCTTGCTTGGTGACCTACAGGTCAAGAGATGACTGGAAGTGCTACTCTTATATTCCAGCAGAGGGCACTGTAGGTCTGGCTTTTCAAACAGGAGCATGAATAGCACAATATTCACCCAGGTCACAGCCTGAGCCCCTCTGCTATCAAAGTTATAGAAATGTATCTTGGAAATAACCCACATTGTCTCATAACTGCTACAGACCACCATACCCTATCCACATGAAACGAAGGAGGCACTCCTGCTAGTCATAGCCACACTCTGCTGAAGCCTACGGAGTAGGCTCCAAGCAGGCGACCGTGTCTGTAAGCAGCAGACAGGACACTTTTTCCACAGGAGCTCAGCCTTTCCCCATCAGTCTTCCCCACTAGGACTGGTCCAATGTACTGGTAGAGTGATTCACCAAGATCCAGTACTCTGCTATCCTGAGACTGGCCATAGGAAATGAAGTTCCACATTTGGTAGAATTCAGAGAGGCAGGGTTCTGCCTCCATATCAAGGCAATTGTATCATGTCTCCTACTCAACTCAAGGCTACTCCAGATGAACAGACACCCTTCACAGGGTCCCTAATGAGCTGTGTGAAAGGAGCTCATCACAGGGCTGCTTCTATTAATCGTAAGTCCTCCTTGGTCCTTCCTGAAAGTCCTGATGAGGTTACTTTAAGGGGCAGTGTAGTCTAGGAGTAAGAGCGTGGGCTCCAGAGTCAAGCTTCTTGGGTTAACTTGTGTCTCTACAACAAGCTAGTTTTATGACCTTGGGAAAATTTCTAAAATTCTCTGTGCCTCTGTCTCCCCTCTATAAAATAATAGTAGGTCTGACCTTACAGAGTTGTGTTAAACACGTTTATCAAGTATTGGCTACTTTTATTGTTATTATCTCTAGAAAATCCATGCAATCCACTTTAGTCAGCAGTCTGCAACCAGCACTAAGTTCCATTGCTGTCTCATGGCCCATCTACTTCCCCTGTGTTTAGAATTCTGAACAAGTACACCACTGTGAGAAAGGTATTTTTGAATGTGGAGGCAAAAGAACTGCCCCCATATGGAAAACATGCTCTGGGGATTGGTCTTGTTCCCTGGATATATGCTTTCCTGGGCTCCTCTTCAATTCATCCTAAAACATTGATAATTTCCTTGCATCAGGGAAGACAGTAAGTGCAAGATAGCCCTCCAAACACACTTCAGCTGATTTCAGTACATCTTAATGTTCCAGCCAACTTCAAGGGATTAATGTCCAATATTTGATATGACTTCCTAGAGAAGAGTCATTTTTATGTACAATATCATTAACATTTTCTCTCAAGCTAACCTTGCATGAGTTTCTAGTCAGTGTGGTATTACTCTGCGTACAGCAATCCAACTCCTAGACAATAGCAATTAATGTGTGTTGGATATTATCACCACTGTGTCCCAAGCCTTAATCTAGAAGTCACACTTCTGGGATCCTAAATTCAAATGACAAACTCAAATGTCACTGCTTCCAGGAAATGGTCCCTCATTGCAATAACCTGTGATGAAATACAAATCAGCCCTCTGGTTCAGTCTAAGCTTCCAAAACTCTATACTCTAAACAAGGCTTTAATACTGCCACGTCTTTTAGGTCCTCAGATGTACAGGGAGGAGGCTCAAACTGTATCCCACTCTATTATAATTATTTCAGATACATAATGTTAGAGGAGATTTTGATTTGAGGGGAAAAAGGGAGAGAGGAGGATCAGAGATGATGAATGAGTGGGGCCAAGCTAAGAAAAAATCAGGAGCATCCCTACAAAAGTAGCATCCCTACACTTCACCAGAGATGAGTCAGCAATCCTCAACCATTTTCAGAGAGAATGGCAAATACTGGACCACATCTAGTTCCTGACAAGCATCAAAAAACAAGAAATATAAAAATCTGAGAGGGTGGGACAAAGCCACTACTTGATGCCAACAGAACAAGGTATTGAAAACATCAGATATAGAGCTGGATTCGACTCTACATCAGAGACTAGCTGGAGGAAAGACATCAAGGGGCCTAGCACCTTTTTCCCCTTGGATGACAGAATGGATGTAATGGCCAGGAGACAGAAATCTTGGAGGAAGCTACCCTGAATACTTCCCTTTTTCTCACTCCCTAAGTCATACTCTTCTGCATCTTAAGTTTTCTCAAATCCATCCATTCTTGTTCAAGATTCTGAAATGCAAGCCAAATCTAGCCTATTTAAGTAGAACATGAATGTACTCTATTTTTAAAATATTTTAGTTATAGATGGACATTATAACTTTATTCATCTATTTTTTATGTGGTCCTGAGGATCAAACCCAGTACCTCACATGTGCAAAGCAAATGCTGTACCACTTAGTGACAACCCCAGCCCATGAATGCATTATAAAAGAACACTTGGGGGGTGCTAGGGTTGTGGCTCAGGGGTGGAGTGCTTGCCTAGCATGTCCAAGGTTCGAACCTCAGCACCACATAAAAATAAATCAAAGATATTTATTTTTTAATTGTATATGGAGGGGCTGGGGATGTGGCTCAAGCAGTAGCACGCTCGCCTGGTATGCGTGCGACCCGGGTTCGATCCTCAGCACCACATACCAACAAAGATGTTGTGTCCGCCGAGAACTGAAAAATAAATATTAAAAATTCTCTCTCTCTCTCTCTCTCTCACTCTCTCTTTAAAAACATTGTATATGGATACAATATCTTTATTTATTTTAATATTTATTTTTTTAATTGTAGATGGACACGATATTTTTTTTTTTAAAAAAAGAACACTGGGAAGCATATAAGCTGCAGGGGGAATGGAGAACCAAGCTTCATGTGGAATAATCAGTAACAATGCTCAGAATCATGCCACAGACGTAGTTTGGCAGAGATATTACCTACATTCAGTGGGCACTGCTGACACCAAGGACACAGAGTCCTGGATACTGCTATACTGCTGTTGAGAAGCAAGATTCAGTGACACTTCTCCCAATGCCCATAACTAGGAAAAATAATAATAAACTTTATCTAGCCACATCTCCCCTCCAACCTCATGTTTGATTCAAAATCTGGATCAGATGTATTTAATTAGACTAGCCAAAAGTTTTTGTCTATGTCCTTGCTGTGAAAGAGCCTGAGTGAGGAAGATCTGGTTTTCTCAGCCTCTAAAGTGAGATACAGGTTTTGTTTCATAAGAGATGCTTCCCAAGCATAATCAATGTTAGGTAATCACTACACTACCTTACGAGTCCCATCCCTTGTCCCTTTCCACTTCACCCAGCAATCCAGGAACCAAACCAACAAAAGTTCTCTGCTGCCTCTCTAAAGCTTCTAATGCATTTGCCATCCTGCTCCCTAAAATGCTCTTTCTGGTTCTACTGTGGCTCAGGGACTCCTACTTATGGACTAAGACTTAGATCAAACATAACTTCCCATTTTAGGCCATTTGAAATTCTAAAAACATGTCAATCCCAGGAAAGGAGTATCTATCCAGATAAGGATCCATCTTCCCCATATTAACCCTAAATATTTATCCAATATTCTGAGTTCAGAGAAGCAAGACAGCAGTGAGGGAGTTCTTATGATCACTCTTCCCCTCTGTCGCAGTCATGGTGATTTGACTCCTGAGATCTTGAGAATTTGGTGTGAGGGGCTAGGATTGTGGCTCAGAGGTAGAGCGCTCACCTAGCATGCATTAGGCCCTGGGTTTGATCCTCAGCACCACATAAAAATAAAATAAAGATATGTGGGGCTGGAGATGTGGCTCAAGCGGTAGCGCGCTCGCCTGGCATGCGTGTGGCCCAGGTTCGATCCTCAGCACCACATACCAACAAAGATGTTGTGTCTGCCGAGAACTAAAAATAAATATTAAAAAAAATTCTCTCTCTCTCTCTCTCTCCCCTCTCTCACTCTCTCTTTAAAAAAAAAATAAATAAAGATATGTGTCCACCTATAAGAAAAAAAATAAATATTAAAAAAAAGAGAATTTGGTGTGAGGGGTTAGGAGAGATCCCTGCCATGTACCTAGTTGATATGGAGACTACAGAATGACAGAACCAAATAGCCACATTTGCCAGGTACTCATTAAATGAATTTGTTCTTGTTTCAGACCAGAGGGAATCAGTGTCCACTAGGCTTCCCCCCATTATCTCAGAAGATGGGAATTATTTCCTGCACCAGAATAGTCACATGAGATACAATGAAGCTGTACAGAAGGTGTTGCTAAAAACATGTAAGTATCTTGGAGTGGGCACCATGCTAGGATTATATCATTGAGGCATGATTATACAGCAGGAAGAGAGAAAGAGCCAGGGAGAGAGACTGAGAAGAGGTTGGGGAAAGTAGACTGGAATGGTAGATGAGCCTGATGAAATATAAATTGAATCAGACGTGAAAGCACAATATACAGGTTTAAATCCTATTTCTGCCTCATTTTAGACATCTGACTTTCTATGGGTCACTTACACTTTATTAACCTGCTTCCTTGTTCATTTTGAGGAGAGATAAAGAGAACGCCTGCTTTACTGGTCTACCAGTCTTACAGAATTGATATGAAGATCACGCCAGAGCTGAAATAATTTAGGAAGGTACTTTGTATATTATCACACAGTACCCCATGGTGAGTAGTAGGGCAAAGCACCAAGCTTTAAATTTAACTAAACTGAGCTTAAAGTCGAGACAAATTGTGTAATTTTGGGCAAGTTAACTTCTCTGAACCATCTAAAAATGGGAATAAAGCTGTATATGGTGGCACACACCTGTAATCCTAGCAGCTCTGGAGGCTGAGGCAGGAGGATCGCGAGTTCAAATTCAGCCTCAGCAAAAGTGAGGTGCTAAGCAACTCAGTGAGACCCTGTCTGTAAATAAAAATACAAAATAGGGCTGGGGATGTGGCTCAGTGGTCAAGTACCCAAGTTCAGTCCCCAGTACTCCAATCCCCAGTAACCCCCCCCCAAAATAAATTAATTAAATTAAAAAATAAAAACTCTAGCACTGTTGTGAAAAAGCATATAGGACAAATTTTTGATGCATCTGATACATTGTAGAAATCTTTTGAGAAAATTATGCTCTGTAAAGAAAGGCAATCCAGGACTGGGGTTGTGGCTCAGTGATGGAGCGCTCATCTCACATGTATGGGTCATTGGGTTCAATCCTCAGCACCACATAAATAAATAAAACGAAAGTATTGTGCCCATCTTCAACTAAAAACAAACAAACAAAAAATAAAGGCAATCCAGGACTGGGGATATAGCTCAGTTGGTAGAGTGCTTGCCTCACATGCACAAGGCCCTGGGTTCAGTCCCCAGCACCACAAAACAAAAAAGGCAATCCCAAAAGGTTACAATTGGTATGCCATTTATATAGCATTCATAAATTTACAAACTTATAGAAATGAAGAACAGAGAAGTTAACTTGTCCAAAATCACACAATATATCTGGAATTTAAGCTCAGTTTAGTTAAATTTAAAGCTGGTGCTTTGCCCTACTACTCAACATGGGGTACTGTGTGATAATATACAAAGTACCTTCCTAAATTATTTCAGCTCTGGTGTGATCTTCATATCAATTCTATAAGACTGGTAGACCAGTAAAGCAGGCGTTCTCTTTCTCTCTCTCTCAAAATGAACAAGGAAGCAGGTTAATAATGTTACAAAATGGCAGCACAGGATCAACAGCAATGGAACAGTTCTGTATTAATATATTAACATCTTGGTTCTAGTAGTGTACTATAGTTTTGCAACATAATACCATTGAGGGGATCTCCAGGTATTATTATTGAATCTACCTATCTCAAAATTAAAGTTTAATTTATAAAGCTAAATACTTTTAGCTTATTATTAATTAATAGGAAAACAAGTAAATATATTTACTCAGTGAATTATTAGATTTTTTAAAAATCATGATTATAAAAACCACAGAGCAAACCAAAATATTAGGCCATAAATCTAAGTAAAAAAATACCTAAATTTTGTACACAAGTAGAATTAGATTTATCCAAACAGTGAGAATACTTTTTTTTTTTTAACAACTAAGCCACATTCCCAGCCCCTTTATTTTTTATTTTGAGACAAGGTCTCACTAAATTGCTTAGGACCTCACTAAATTGCTGAAGCCAGCCTTGAACTTGTGACCTTCCTGCCTCTGCCTCCCAAATCTCTGGGATTACAAGCATGCACCACCATGCCTGGTGAAAATATATGTATTTTTAAAAGTATCTAGGTAAGTTTTTAAAAACACCTAATACCTCTAGAACATGATAGCACTTGATATCTGTATCTAAAAGTGAGGTGGTATCATTGTTAAGTTTCAGAGAATTACCTGGAGTGAGGAAAAAGAAGGCATTATTTCAGAGAGGAGGGAAAGAAGTAAGGATGATTAAGCCCAGAAAAAAAGAAAATAATGAAATCAGTGGACACCATCTGATACACTTCCCAAGTGGGTTGACCACTTGTTCTTCCACCATCTTAGCTCTTGGGGAAGCTTTCTTGGAGATGGCTTACTAGCAACAGGAAGAACCAAGACTAATTCATCTGACCATGAAAGGTGTAAGATGCTGGAATCCGGAAGTAAAGCAGGGTGTGGTAACCACATTCCCAGGACCTCTGAGCATCTGGTCAGGCCCAGTTGCTTGGCTGGGCTTTTGGGGAGGGAGAAAAATAAGTGGTAAACTTGAAGGAATTCAGTAACCTGCCCTCCCCACCACCCAATCCATTCAGTCCCCAATCAGGTCTTCAGAGTCCCTCTGACTGATGCTCAGAACTTCAGCTTCTGGCGGTCTCATGATCCAGGAGTACGTCCAGAGAAAACCATGCCATGGATCTGGAGCCCACGCCACTGTCTCATTAAAAGCCCAATGACCAGGTTAGGTTAGGGAGGGGTCAGGGTGGGAAAACCAAGGGAAGTATTCCCTCCTCTTACTGAAATCATTAGGCTGTTTTATCTCTGCTCAACATTGGAGAATTAGGAGAGGTTTGGGTCTTATTAGGAAAGACTGGTCACAGAACCTGGGCAGTAGTGGTATTCAATGGAGTTAAGGATTTCTTTCTTCTTCTTTTTTGTTTTGTACTGGGGATTGCACCCAGGAGCACTTTACCACTGAACTACATCCCCAGCCCTTTTTATTGTTTTTAAAATTTGAGACAGGAACTCACTAAGTTATTAAGGGTCTCCCTAAATTGCTGAGGCTGGTCTTGAATTTGTAATCCTCCACCTCAGCCTCCCAAATCGTTGGGATTACAGGAATGAGCCACAGTGCCTAGCCAGGTTTGTGTTTTCACATTGTATATATGATTTCTGAGGAGCACAAGACATGTCTGTGCCATTCCTGTGGGAGCCCGAGGATGTTTCCACTACCTTTGTTGCTCCCCTACTTTTTCATCACTACCCCTGCACATTCTGAGGTGGTCTTGGGACTATTTGTAAGGATTTTCCCCAAGCCTCCAGCCTAGCATGGCTGAATCTCAGATGATTTCTCTCCTTTCCAGGTTTATGGATCACTCCATTCTTAACGACAGAAACTTCAGTCTATATTGAGGAGGAAATGATTGTATAAGGACAAACAAGATGGATTGTGAAAGAAGTACAAGGAGTGGGAAAGAGGGAGAAGTATCCCAGTTCTGATGACTTTGACTAATGGGAAGAGGGGAATCAAGAAAGCAGAGTAAACAGATTGGACTAGAAGTCCTTTGTGTGCACTAGGGTTTGAATAGGGAAGTCATTCCAAAGCCCTAATTATTGTGAAAGGAGGTGTGTGAGAGATTCCTGAAGAGACTAGATCATGGTATGAGGGTTGTGAAGGAGTCAAGGCACTGGAAAGACAACCACAGGGGTCCAGACCTAAGGCATAGCAGGAGTCAAAGTAACAAATCTTGGAAGACACAGCTGGTCCTCATGTTGATGAAGGGCCTAGAGTAGTCATACTCTCTGAAGACTCTGTAGCTTCACCTTGGCAGGGAGAAAGCCACAGAAAGCCCTCAGACCACAGACCAAAAGGTTGCCTCCAACAACCAGGCTTTGCCACTTCTGATCCAACCCAGGGCCCAGAACAGCTGCAGAGAACAGGGAATTTTACAAAGAGTTTGATTTTATTGATATTTAAATATATTAAATATTTCACTGAAATACATAGTACAATCACCCTCCCCCACTCCCACAGTGGTTACATTATAAAACCAAAGTCCATGGCTTCCCATCCCCTGACTCCTCCACCACCTGGTGAGGAAAGAGGCAATGGTAACCAGGGGAAGGGCATGGCTGGCACTGTGGTACAGGGAGCAAGGATATGGACAGGCCCCTCCCACCTGGCAAGAAGCAGAGACAAGTCATTCAAGGCTGAGGTCTTCCCACTCTGGCTTACACCCTCACTCCTACTCCCTGGCACCAAGTAGTCTCTTCCTATTCAGAGATATCAAAGAGGAGTCAATTTTCTGTCTGGAACAGCTAGTCTTTTCCCTCCCTCTGCCTTGGCTAATGATGTGCCTGGTGGCCCATTTGGTTGATGCATGGAGATAGATTCCCCAAGGTAAGCAGTACCGAGCCAGAAACCAGATCTCTGCAAGGAGCTGGTGCTGAAGGAATATGAGGAAGATCTAGAACACTACCTTCCTCTTCCACCCCCAAACCCCATTCTCCTCTGACTTCCAAGACAAAAGTGATCTTCAAGCAAAATTCAGGCTAATGCCTCTGGCTCAAATAGGTACAGAGAGAAAAACCAAGGCACCAACTAATTCAGGCCAAAGTTGAAGAGGTTGCAGGCAAAGGGGTAAAAGGAAGGAAAAGACAGGAAGGAAATGTGAGTCTAGCCTCCTAATTCTTCCACCAGCCCTTGCAGGCTTCATGGGGATTGGGAGCCAGGAACACACTAGACTCAGGCTAATGACTTGGAAAAGCCAAGTTTAAGGTTCCCCTGTCCCGTTCCTTAGTACCAGTATCTGGGTTCTCAGAGGGATCCCATGCTACCCAAGTCCCAAAGCATACCACATCCCAGGACACAGGCTGAGGAACCCAGGAAATTCCTGAGTCTCTACTCAACAAACCCCAAACAGTTTAAGTGCATGGAGCACTGGGGCTCAAGCAAGTGCTTGGGTTCCTGCCCTAGGCAGGGAGACAGTCATACTGCACATATGGCCCCCAAACGGCACTTAGGGATTTGGCACAAAAAGGATTCCCCTTCCCAGGCCACCCTCATTTTGCTACCACACCCCATCCCATACCTGTGCAACCTGGGCATCTCTCTACATCCCTTGAAATAGGAAACCCTGCCTTATTCTCTGAAGACAGAGGCCTATGGGAGAGAGGCAACCCTGGGTGGAGAGCTGAGGAGCAAAAGTACAAGGACACACACAGACCTGGAAAATACATACACACAAAGAGCAACATGCACACACAGTTATACAAACACACAGGCTCTCCCCAGTGTCAGAGACCTGGGAGACCAGGTTTGGGATCAGGGTCATCTTCCTCTGTGCCCTGACCCTTTTTTATTTGGCAATAGAAGGGGTAGAGATGCTCCCTGCCCCCTTGCCAGCAGAGAGCAAGCGAGCGCTGGGGCCAAGGAACCTGATCCTGGCCACTTCAGGGCCTTAGATCAGTCTGGCACCACCCCCCTCCCTGGCCGCCTGCACTCTTTGGCACCTGCAGGTGAATGTCCAGCTCCTGATTTAACATCCCCATACACAGGCTTGCTCTCTGGCTGGGCATTTTCACAGTACCAATGAGGCCAAACACCCCTTTCCCTGGAGTGTGCAGGAACTGGGGCTAAATCTGAGCTGTCAGAGGTCCCTTTGTTCCCCTTTGGGGACAGATCATGGGACTAGGATTTGGCAAATGGAAACATTCCCCTGAAATGTAGACAGAGCTGGATCCCCAGGGTATCTCCCTCCTGCTCTATGCTTAAGAGGGAGACCTGGCCAGGGCTGGGGTACCCAGGACCAGTGCTGGGGATGCAGGCATAGCAAAGGCAAGCATGGAATAGGCACTCCTCATGCCTGGCTCCAGTCTTTGTACAAAATATTCCCAGGGGAAGGAGGGTAAGGAAGGACCCATCCCTGAGCCTGTTACCCAAATAGAGAAAGGGGCAGGCAAGGCAAGTTGCCACTTTAATCTCTCAGGCAGAAGAGCTCCCCTGCCATCGCTGCCCCTTCCCCTGCTCCCACAAGTTGGAAGAAAGGAAAGGCAACAGCCCAACATCAACTGAATAAGAAAATCACTTGCATAATCCTCTTGGTATCCCCTTGATCACCAGTCTGAGGGCAGATGAGCACGGTCCAAGTACAGCATGTTGGGTGTGTTCCCTTCTGCCTTCAGCAAGGTTTGGAGGCTCAGTGCCCCCTGCCACAACTCCACCCAGCAAGCACAGAATCCACTCAATGCCCACCTTGGTCCCTTCAGTGGAATCTGTAGCTGGGTCCTGCTAACTGCTGGGGCCCCCATTGAGGAAGTAGGTGGTCATCTCCCCCTTGCCCTTCACCTTGACCACCCCTCGACACTCCAGTTGGTAGCCCTTGGCAGCTAGAACCTGGTACAGGTCCGTGGTCACCTAGGGGAGTGGGAGGGGAGCCCGCTTAGCCTGAAATCCTTCTTGCTGCATTTGCAGAAGCTCAGGTTTTCCCCAGTCAGGTTAGCTCCCCTCCCCCAACCTCCATCCCACCAGCCACAGAAGACTGCCACCCTGCCCCTGTCCTGCAGAGACCTGTGCAAGCCCTCTGGACCCATACCCCTCCCAGCCTTGGCTCACAACCCTCTCACCTGTATTCGGTCAGGGACCCCTGTGCTGTCCATACGACTAGAGACATTCACTGTGTTCCCCCAGATGTCATACTGTGGTTTCCGAGCCCCAATGACACCTGCCACAACTGGGCCCATGTTCAGCCCTGAGTGGGGAAAACAGCAAGGGATTGAGACTAGTGAATGCTCCATAGTCAGTCCAAGGAGTCGTCTCATCTCTTGGTACCTTGAGAAGGGCTCAGAGGAAAAATGGAAAAGGAACAAATCTCCTGGTGGTAGAGTGGAAAGTCTGGGCACATGGGCTATGGGCTGGGTCCAAGCAACAGGGTAGTAACAGTATCTAATCTTCTGAATGCTTGCTCATGCCAACTACTGAAATAAACATTTTACATTGTTGCATCCTCTCAACACCTTTCAAAGGTAGGTATTTTTTAAAAATTTTTTTAGTTGTTGATAGATCTTTATTTTTGTTTATATGCGGTGCTGAGAATCAAACCCAGTGCCTCACACATGCCAGGCAATTGCGCCTTTTTGAGCCACAGTCCCAGCCCCTCAAAGGTAGGTATTTTATCTCCATTTTACAGACAAGATTTTTGGGGTGACTTATTAAATAACCAGTAGATGAAGCAGCCAGAACAAACCATAAATGGAACAGCCATGAGTCCAGAACCCATCCTATTAACCACAGTCTTCTATCAGCTCATTCAAGAGGAAGTACCTCTATTGAACTGGCCACAGATAAGGACACAGGCATTGGAGTTTAGATTAGGTAAGCCTGGTTTCAAATCCCAGTTTAGCCACCTACTAGTTATTGATGTCTGAGAGTCTCTCTTATCTTTAGAAAGGGAATAGTAATGTGAGGATTAAAATGTACTCAAAATATCTAGGACAGAGTCTAGAACATAGAAGTACCATAATAAATTACCTCTCTTCTTTTTTTCTCCCTTGTGATACTGAGGATTGAGCTGAGGTGTGCTTTACCACTGAGCTACATGCTCAGTCTCTTTTTTTTTTTTTTAATTTTAAGACAGAGTCTCCCTAAGTTTCCCAGGCTGGTCTCAAATTTAAGATCCTCCTACCTCCACCTCTCAAGTTGCTGAGAATATGGGTGTACCCACCACACCTGGCTGGTCTCTGTTCTTAATATCAATATAGATATAGAAGGTAGAAGGGGAAAAAACCCCACAGGAGCCCTGATGATCTGTGACCCCCAGCCTGTACCCTCAACTTCACCCAGAAACAGTCCTGGAAACACCTGCCAAGGAACCAGGCCTTCTCACCAATCTTCATCTGGAAATTGTTGAAGGAGTGCTCATTGATGTGCTTCATCTGCTCCATGAGCCGCATTGCATAGTCTGCAAGGGCAGTGATGTGGGATCGTCCCACCTGATCATAGGTGCTGGCATTCAGCCCAGAGGCAGCCATGTAGGTGCTACCAATTGTCTTGATCTTTTCCAGTTGCTTGAACCGTTCCTCGCTGATGATCTGGACAATACAGGGGAATCTAGTTGTCAAGGCAAAACCCAGCTCTGCTCCAAGGCTCATTCCTCTCCATACCTTGGCTGCTTTCCCTCATTTCTATCTTGAAAGTACCCCCCCACACACACACCACCATTACCACTTTTTCTTTTTAATATTTATTTTTCAGTTCTCGGCAGACACGACATCTTTGTTTGTATGTGGTGCTGAGGATCGAACCCGGGCCACACGCATGCCAGGCGAGCAAGCTACCTCTTGAGCCACATCCCCAGCCCCACCATCACCACTTTTTAATGGATGAGCTCCCTTCCAGATGCTGCTCTCACTACAGAACTGAGCAGCCAGGAAAACAGGCAGTCTAGGGACCTAGGCAAGGCCTTGAGAATAGCACTTGGGACGATCAACTGTGATGCTGTGATGACCCACTCAGAGAACACAGAGGTCATTGAGCATTAACTACTCCAACGCTCATCTCTGGGGGGAACTGAGTCCCAAAATGAGGAAGGGACTTCCCATTCCTGACCTGAATGTTCAGAACACTTCCTCATATTTTGCTTCCATTTTCTCTATTCAGGGAATGGTCTTATTTGCTTGGTCCCATGAGGTCAGACTACTGCTTTCCTTTTCATGACATCCACCTCTAGTACCTTTCCTATCCCTTACTAATCATTATGACCTCCTTTGTTCCCCAATAAGGATGTCCTGTCCCCACTGGGGCTGACCCCGCTTGCCACCTCTGACCTTCATGGGTTCTTTTCCTCACCTCCACTGTACCTACTCTTACCCCTATCCATGACATCACTGGTTCCCATTAAATCTCCCTTTCTCCTCCATTACCACCCACCCCCTCTAATTGTGGCCTTCTCATCCAAAGTTCACATCACTCCTCTGGTCCCCAAGTTCCTCTACTCTCTGCCAGCACTGGTCAACTGGACAAATACCTCATCAAAGTCAGCGATGATCTCGTTGAGCAGCCGCAGGCACTCGACACCCTCATTATTTGCCTCCAGCTCCACATAGAACTCGGAGAAGTTGGCAATGGAGGCAAACATAACAGCCACACACTCACACGACTGATAGTAGAGTTCATCATTCCGGCGCTCACGGGCCAGGAAGTGGGCAGCCACATCCTTGGGTAGAATGTTATGCAGCAACCGCCGGTTGTATGCTTGGAGCTCCTCCATCTCCTCCTTCTCCCCTGTTGCCTGTGGATACCACATCCATCGCCCATTACCCAACATTCACAAGGGGTGGGTATAGTGGCCAAGGCCTGGAGTTGAGCATCAGAGGGAATCATGTAGAGGAAGAAAGACACTGATAGATAGATGAGGCCTAAAGATCAGGCAAAGAGGTGAAGGGGGCAAGTATAGGAGACAGAGGGAAGGGCATGAGCACAGAGAAGGCATGGGACTAGTTGGGCTTAGGGCAGCCTGAGCCTTAGCCAGCTAGCAAGAAATGCATTTTTGGCTTTGCCCAGGCTCTGGCCCCAAGTTCCTCCACCTCTGCCAAAGGCCCATCCAAGTCACCTGCAGTTTCCAGAGGAAGTCCAGGCGGGCAGTTGACTCCACCTGCTGGGCATGCAGATACAGCGCCAGTGCAAACACCAATAGGATCACAGGGGTCATGTATTTGAGTGCCACCCTCCCTGCAGCTGGGCTAAGGATAAGCAGAGACATGCTTGGTATCCGCAGGAGGCAGCTGATGGCCCCACCCTTTGCTTCCCTGGAGCCCTCACTTACCAGTCCAGCCCATCAAAGGTCTCATTGGATGGAACCCTGGCATGAAAATACAAAAGACAGGAAGCATCTTCAGTGCTTTCTGGGTTGCTTGGCAGGCCGTGGAGAAGGGACAGAGACTGCATTACTTACTATGCGACCAGTCAGGCATTGGGCCAGAGCTTTTCTATATATTAACTCATTAAGAGCAGAGGCCTTAAGAAAACTTCTACTCCTAGTGGCTCCTCTACTTACTAATATAGGACAAATTACTTAAAACTAAGTTCAGTTTCCTCATAAGCAAAACAAGAATCAGATCTAAATAATGCATATGGAAGGCTTAGCCCATACCTGGCATACAGTAAACCTTCATAAATGTTAATTACTATTATCTTTATAATTACCCTATGATATAGGTGGCATTGCCATTTTACAGGTGAGAAAACTGAGGTTCAGAGAAGTTAACTCACCTGTCCAAGGTGACATAGCTAATAAATGGTAGAGCAGGGATTCAAACCCAGCAGTCTCCAGAGGCTCTCTACCTCAACAAGCTATGGCTACATATCACAAGGGGTAGGATTTTGCATAAGAAAAGTCAGTGTGGTGTCCTTAAGCAGGAGTTAGAAATGTGGGTTCTAAGCCCAGGCTCTGCCACCAAGCAGCTCGTGACTCACAGGTGTTAAGACATTGGGTAGGAAAGCACCAGGCAAATGTCAGAGGGAATTTTTGTTAGAGACAGGGATTTTTTGAGAACTGGGGTGTTTCCCTGGGATAACTACTTGGGGTCACATGCCAGGAGTTCCTCCATTTCCTCCCTTTCTCCCACGGGTACATAATAGCATTCCAAGGGTACAAGGGCCTGGGCACAAGAGAGAGACTCAGTGACCCAGAAGAGTCAGGAAGACTTCTGGAGTATTAAGGGGGCTGAGAATAAACTTACAAGCCATGGACACCAAGCAGTAGGTCATAGTTGTCGAAGATGGTGGCTGGGGGACCCAGCAGAAGCAGCATCAAATAGATGAGCCCCAAGACAAAGATCATGGCCAACTTGCCGATGCTGCTTATGTGCAGGAAGACAGAGCTGGCCAAAAGACTCAGGAGCATGTTCCCAACGAAGTACTGGGGGAGGGGGCGATGGCAGAGGAAGCGTTGGGTGACAGCAGAGGTACTGGCACCCAGGGCAGGAAGAGCCCTGCACTCCCCTGCCTGACCTATCCTCCCCTTCCACAACCCTCAAACCCCAATATCCCTCACCCTCCATGCCTGGCCTACACCACACTAGGGCCCCTGATTACTTAGAAGTGTGGGTTCTAAGCCACACTTGGGGAGTCTGGTGAGTTCCTGGGTGCCCAGTGCCAATCATCAGCCTGGCACAGGAGGACCAAAAAGTGTGCCAGGATACCCCCCTCTGCCTGAACACTGCTTGGACACCTCAGGGAAGCTGCAGGTGGGTGCGGTGCCCTCACACAGGGGAGCATCCAGGCCAAGAGAGTAATTGAGCTGTTGTAGATGACAGGCAGTGATGTCAGCAGGTGTTAAATTCAGCATCTGGGCTGCACAAGTCCGTATGGGGGTGTGGTCACAGGTGAACTGCAAAAGTCAGGTACATATCAGGGTACCAGGAGGGGAAGGGTTACAAAGGCCATGCCCAGGTGCCTTATATTCCAAGGGCCAAAGCTCTCAGGGGATGACAAGAGGTGGAGGAAATGAAGAAGGAGAATTGGCATTAACCATTCCCCTCATCCATGACAGCAGGCTCCCTGAGGGCAAGAAGCATTCCCAGTGCCAGAGTAGTGCACGGCACAACGCAGAGGTGGAAGAACTCCCACTGGACTCTTACCATGTTAGCAATAGCAGAAATGAACACAAGGAGGACTGAAAAGATGCCGACTGTGGTGCTATGTGCCCGTGAACGGACAATGCTACGGGACAAACGCTGCAGGGCCTTGGGGAACAGCTGTAGTAGCAAAAGACCAAAAGTTAGAAGCCACATCAGCCAAGAAGGAAGGCCACCCATGGATGGGACACAGAAGGAGAGGAATGACCTTTCCTCTCTCTCCCCATGGGTCCCCCTCCCTACCACCCAAGATCCCTGAGGAAGTCCCCCTACATACGGAACCACAGGAGTATACAGCACAGATCAGCACAGTAACCAGCAACAGCAGGAAGATACTGGCATAGATCCCAAGCATCAGGGTGGAGCTGAGGCAGGGAAAATGTTGCTCAGGAAGATGTGGACACTTTGTCCCAACCCCAGAACAAGCAGGGATGCAGGCTCCAGGAACTGGGGGCTTGTATGGGTGTTTATGACTATTCCAGGGAGGGTAATGAGGGGCAAGGCTCTCACTGTGGGAAGATGAGGAGCTGGATGAAGCAGATGAAGCAGAAGACCAGCAAGGCACAGGCGACATAGGCTCCGAAGCGGGGATCCACCTTCCGTGAGTACTGAGGGAGAGGGGGCTGAGCTGAGCACTGGGTGCTGCTGCCCTGGGGCAGGCAGGGACAGCAAAGGCAGGGTACTCCTCAAGGGGAGGAGAAACAGTTTGACCAATTGATATGAATCTCCACCCTACTGTGCTCCCTCCCCATTCCTCAAAACCCTATCCTGATCCCTCACCTGTGTTCAACCTTTCCTGCCTGAATCTGCCCTTCCCCCAGCCCTCATCCTTTTGTATCCCCCAAACCTTCTTCTCAAGATCCTCTCTTTGGAAGGTGAGCAGGAACCGGCGCACATGGTCCTTACGCAGCTGATCAATGCTGCGGGCATCGATGGCACGACCCAGGAACTCATCCACCTCATCCTCAGGGTTCAGGGCATCTTGGGCACCCCGGCTGAGGGCAGGGGACATGCTTCACCAAGTGCATGAGCAATAGCATGTGATAAATAGTGAGAGGAGGAGGGCATAGGCAGCAACCAAGCCAGTGCATGTGAGCCACGTATGTGGCTCCTGCTCCCACACACATATCAAAAGCCCAGGAAAGAAGGGATCTCAGGTCCTGCAGCTCCAGTCCAGGTGTAAGTACCTTCTCCCTCCTCATCCCCCCTCCTCAACAACCTGACTTACTTGTCTTTGCTGGAATCATCAATGCCCTGGAGAAGGGAACAGAGTATGAATGAGGGGAGGGGCCACCACCCTCACCTCTGCAGTCCCTTCTCCCATTCCCAACACTGAGTAGAGGGTGTCCCCACATATGCTTTCGGGTACATGGGACCCCAGAGATGAACCATTCTCCTGACCCCAATACTAGAAAGCACACATGAAGTTGGCAGCTGTAGGAAGGAGGGGGTTGCAGTGTTGAAGGAAACAAAAAAAGTGAGGCCCCATGTCCTGGTCTCGAGGGTCCCTCACCATCTGGCGAAAAGCTTTGGAGTCCTTGGTCCGGGAGAAAGCACGATCAGGCACCCAGCGTGGCATTAGCCCTTCCATGGAGTTGGCCCGTGTCCGCTGCAGCTTGGCCAGCATGGCCTTCTCCTCTTTCTGTGAGGGCAGTGCGGATATAGGTTTAGAAGAAGGTCCCCAAGAAGGTCTTTGCCGACTCATCTCTATTTGTCCCTGCTTGCCCTTCCCCCCCAGCCCTGCCTTGGCCCTGACCCTTTTCTGGCTGGCACCCAGGATGAGGAAAGTCTCAATACGCTGCTCCTTGAGGTATGCGTTGCGCTCACCACCATGGCCTGGCTCCACCTCATAGTCCCCATTCAGGTACTGCAGCGTGGCCCGAGTGATGTGGATGCGTCTGTATGGGACCAGGAGGTGAGTCCCTGAATCTCCCACCTCCTTCCCATCCCCTACCACCTGGCTCTTCTACTCACCCAGCCCGGCCCCCTGCCTCCATGTGGTTGGCCAGGGTTACATCGTTGGACCACACATCAAACTGCCATTTCCTCAGGCCAAGGACACCACAGTGTACACGCCCACTGTGGATGCCCACACGCATGTTCACATTCACGCCTGTCACCTCACGCACCAATCTGGGAAGATGCAGCTTGGGATCAGCTCTTGGTACAGTCTTCCCCTCCCCCAGTCCATAACACAGGCAGCCCAGGGGACAAGTACAGATTACACAGTTGCAGGGGACAGAAGCATAGCCTTGGCTGGACATTGGCAGAAGGCTGCACGGGGCTCAAGGACAAAGGTTTGAGAGCTGTGTTAGCAGGGCCTGTAGCATTTTGTGAAACTGAGCTGGCAGAGGAAGAATCACATCTCTCACCCTCAGCCTGCTCAGCTGGCATTTTCTGCAGCCCCATTCCCCACCACCCAGCTCCCTGCACCCTCCAGGCTGGTTGGAGTCTAGAGGTGCCACATGGGTCTTCACACAGGCTGGAGAAAGAGCCAAGGCTGAGGAAAATTCCTGAAGACACATTAAAGAGTAGGAATAGTATGGGACACCCACAATTCCAGGAATCCTGGGAAGGGAGCACTGCTTACGAGATGGCCTCGATCATGTCCACCCCCATCTCCACACAGCAATGGGCATGATCTGCTCGGGCCTCCGGCAGCCCTGACACACAGTAGTAACAATCCCCTAAGATTTTGATCCTGAGGCAATGATTTTCCTGAAGGGGAAGAGGTAAAGGAAAGGGTCACCTTTACTCTCCTACCCACTCAGCCTACCGGGGCTCACCGCCCTCACTGTACCCTATCTGCCACCCACACCCCTAACTGCCACAGGTAAAGCTGGGCTTTCACCACAACTGGCACCACCCCAAGCCCCAGCACCCTCACCGCGGCCAGCTTGTCAAACCGGGCAAAGAGCTCATTCAAGGTCATGACCAGCTCCTGAGCAGTGCACTGAGAGGCCAGGCTGGTGAAGCCCTCAATGTCCGCAAACAGGATGCTGTGGACAACAGCAAAGGATAGGTGGGCCATGCAGCCCTCAAAGTCTCCCAGAACCTCCCACCCCTCCTGGTATCCTCCTATCCCTGCCCTACCTGACATTGTCATGCTTTTGGATGTAGATCTTGTGGAACATCATGTCTTCTTTTTTTGTGTTGATGTCTTCTTTCATCTCCATGGCAACATGCTGGGGCAACACCGAGAGCAGCAGCCGCTCCTAGACCAGTGGTTCCAACAGGGCACTGCTATCCTCTTTACAATTCTTCCTAATCCTTCCACATTATCTCTGGGGACCTGAACTTCCCTTCTGGACTGTGACCCAACACTGTCCACCAGAGTCCTCAGCAGTCTTCCATCCCAGCCCTCTCTAATCAACCCTCACTCAATCTCCCAAATGCACTCCTATCTACTCCCACCCCTGGACAAGACAGAATCCCAGTGTCACAGAGCCTCTGTGATGGAGGAACTATTATAGTTCCTCTGTCCAGGAGGAACTATTCACAGAGTTCCACAGACTTGAACAAGCAGCAGATCCAATCTGTAAGCTATTGGGGAATTAGGAGGGGAACACTGGTCAGGGGAAACAGCTCCCACCTGCTGCCGATTCTCATGCTGCAGGTGCAGACGAGCCTGGATATAACCGCGGGTCTCCTGAAAGGCCTGGCGCTGAGACACCTCAGCTGGGTAGTGTGTGCAGATGCCAATGACGTTGGTGCAGAGGAACAGCACCACATTAGCACCAAGCTGCAGGATGGTGGCAGAGGCAGATGGGTGAGCACCCACACCAACACACACACACACACACACACACACACACACACACAACTTGCTAGGCTTTCTCTAAATGTATCCCTTTGAGAGAGAAACCATAGTTCTGCACCCTCTCTGTCCCCATCCCTCAAACATATCTCTCCCATTCCTCAAGGACTTCACATCCTGGCCCTCTGCCTGGGTCACTCCATGACTAGAAAAGTAATATTATCATAGCATCTGGGAACAGGAGCACCAACTAGGACCAGGTAGGTCATGGTGCCCACCTCAGCTCCCTATGATCCCCTGCTTCACAAACACCCAAAAGAAAGACAAAGGCTGCTCCCCCTACATGTGATTCTCCTTACAGAAGAATAGCACCCACGAGGGCTGGGGCTGTAGCTCAGTGACAGAGCTTGCCTAGTAGCATGTGTGAGGCACTGGGTTCAATCCTTAATACCACATAAAAATAAACAAATAAAATAAAGGCATTCTATCCATCTACAACTAAAAAAAAAAAAAAAAAAAGAATAGCACCCAGGAGGCCTGAGCTCTCTCCATCCTCCTCTGAGTGGCCCAGGACAAGTCACCTGTCTCTGGGCCTCTGTTTACTCATCTATAACTCAAACAGGGAAGAATAAGAAGATCTCTAGAACTCTGGCTCCCACTTAATGATAAATTTGTTTAAAAGAGGCTGTGTAGTTTCTCTTGCCATTAAAATAATAACACAACTATTGTTTAATGCCTAACTGATTTTGAATTTTGATCTTGTGTAGAAAATAATTTAGTCTGGTATATTATTTTGGTAATGTAGTCTATTATAAAGTTCAATACAGCATAAAGATCCCTTTGTTAATAAAAAAAATTTTCTAAAGTCTCTCCCTGCCCTGCAGACTGAATAACAATGACCATTATTACCATTATTATTATTATTAATTATTATTATTATTATTACCAACACCATAGCTGGTTTGTTGGCCATCTGCAACATGCCAGGATTCTATGGACACTTCGTATACATTAATTTATGCATTTCTTACAACTCTATGAATTGACAATATCCCATTTTATTTATTTGTTTTGGGTACTGGGGATTGAATCCCAGGACACTTTACCACTAAGCTACATTCCTATTTATTTATTTATTTACTTACTTACTTACTTAATTATTTTAAATTTTGAGACAGGGTCTGCCTAGGTTGTGAATGTCTCATTAAATTGCTGAGATTTGCCTTGAACTTGTAATATTCCTGACTCAGCCTACCGAGTTGCTGGGATTACAGGGGTACACCACCACAGTAACAGCATCCCATTTTAAAGGTGAGGATCTCAGAGTACAGAGAAGTTTGGTAACCTGCCCAAGATCACACAGTTGGTGTGGCTGGTATGGGACTTGAGCCCAGGACAGTTAGTCTCCAAAGCCTGTGTTCCAACCTAGTGCATTCCAGGTTTCCAAGAGTTCTCCTTGTTCCACTCAATCTCAAGGCCAAAGCTCAGAACCCAGGCTTGGGAGTCATCAATTCCACTATACAAAGAACCCTCTATAACTGGGGATGAGGTACCTCCATGTCTGGCTACCCTCAAGGTATAACTCCCCGCCCAACACACTAGGTCCTGCTGGGCCCTGCCAGGTCCCACACCAAGGCCCCCACCTTAGGCATGGTCAGCCCTCATCATTATCCCTGGCTGGCTGGAGAGCAAATCCAAGAAAAGCTGGCCTCAGTGCTTTTGGAAACTAGGGGGTTAACCTGGCACTTACAGCTCCACCCCAGAGCTGGATGGGGCAGGGCTCTGGTCCAGGAGAAGGGAGGGAAAGCTTACCAACTGATCTGAACCAGAACTAGTCCTACAGACTTCAAAAGGTCATTTAATTTAGGGGACCTCAGTTTCTTCTATGTAAATTTGAGAAGTAGTTTTGGCTAACTCCTAGTCATTTTCAGCTATGACCCCCCCAAGACTGGCCTCTCAGCTTTCCTCCCAGTCCAGTGCACAAGGCCCCAGGCCAAATAGACCGAGGTCCCCCTCCCAGCAGCAGGGGTGAAGAGGGGGCACACTCTCTCCCCATGGGGCTTCTAAGAATAGCCCCCAGTGAGGGAGAAGGAAAAGGGGGGCAAATCAGGCAACTTCCCTTCCTGGCCCCAGGAGCCCAAAAGGAAAATGTGAGTCACGGTGGAGGGAAGGGGAAGGGGGATGAGACTGAAATAACTGTTCATACACATCCCTGTCCGACTGTGAGAAAAAATGGATGCCAGGACACTGGAGGAGATGCCAGCCTGGGCTGGAGTCACCAGGTGATACTGCTCAGTGTGTCTGAATGAGTGGGCTGGGGAGGAAGGTCCTTCTCACTAACATGACTGGGGCTGGATCTGGGAAGGGGCTGACCAAAGGAAGCTCAAAGGAGGTCACAAAACCCCACCCCCTCCAAAAACACACAGCCCAAATGGGCACAGGGAATTGTTCTCAGCTCATAGGAGGCTATATGAGCAGCCCTGGCCTTACAGACAGGCATAAGGGCAGCACAACTTTCTTCATCACTCCAAAAATGTATTCGCCAAGACCCACAGGATTAGGCCAGGTACCCTTACAGAAGTGGGACGCTGGCAGTTCTGACCTTCCTGAAGCTGAACCTCCCCAATCAAGCACCAGGCCTGGCTCTGGGCATCATGCCAGCAGAGAGCAGAGAAGAGACCCACCCACCTCTGGCCATTCAGAGAGGAACGGGGAAGGAAGGCACCACCTCTAAGGTCCCTCTCCTCCAAGATGGCAGTCCAGCCCCAAAGCCCACCTTAATAGACTGAAAGAAAAGCTGGGGGACCAGCAAGGGTAGAAGGACCTAGCCCTTTAAGAGGTCCAATAGTGCCCTGTGGGCACGTATTCCACAAACAAACGGGCTATAAAGTTACTTTTAAAAAGGTACGTTGTGTTCTGGAGCACAGGCTGGGCGGGGAAGGGCATCATGCCAGAGCACCTAGCTCCTCACCCTGGGAGCCCCAGGCAACTTCCTCTCCATGGTGAGACCAGGGTGGGCCACAGACCACAAGCCCTGGGCAAGGCAGGGGCTAGTCCCTCACACACTGAGAGAAGTAGAGGACAGCACTCAAGATTGGTGCCAATGATTGCCCATACAGAGTGCTGACTAGGGGAGTGTACCAACAGCAGCCTGGCCTTTGCACCACAGCAGGGGATAACATGAGAACCCACTAACATGTCTCTCTGAAAGGAGCTTCCCAAAAATCCTTATAGCACTCCCCACAGCTCACTGCCACAAGTGGGAACCCTGACCTGTCAGATCCTACTCCACTCAGAGAAGGGTAAAGTCCTCACAGCAATACCATGAGATATAAGCTATTTTTACCCTGGTTTTACAGACTGGGAAACGAAGCCTGGAGAGGCAAGTTAGTTGTCTAAGATCCCACAGAGCAGAATGCAACACACTGGACAACCAGTCTACCTGCAACCACACCCTTATTCTCACTTCCATGTGGTGATACTGAGCCCCACTTACCCACACTCAGCACCCCAAGACAGTATCCAGCCCATACAGAGAACCTCAGAGCAAGATTGTGGACCAAGATGTGTGGACATTAGACTCTGGTGTTCCTCTCTTCTCTAGTATAATTCCATTCAAATCACCCCCAGCCCAGGAGAAACCCAAGCTCTCTACCTTCCCTGTTGTCTCAGAAACAGCCTTAGTCTAGGAGAGAGGTGACTCCTTCTTTACCAATTCTATCCAAAACCTGTTCTTCCCTTCAGATCATCACCTAGAACTGCTCTTTAGGGATGGTACCAGGGCCTGAGTCTCAAGGGTCAACTTGGGGACAGAGGATACAACCTGCACAACCTTCTCAGTTCCACCGTAGCCCAGGGTCTAAACATCACATCCCCACCTCAAGCCCCACATTGTGTCTCTCTACAGGCTACATTATTTCAGCAGGCTCAGGCCAAAGAGCTGGAGACTGTGATCTATAGTGACAGACTATAGGCCTGGGTTCTGGAATCCATACTCCTCTCAGCAGTATCCCCTGCCACAGATTCCAACTGGAGTGGCATTCCTCAAACCTGGCCTCCCAGCTAGAAATCCCCACACTCGGGATCCACCCATGACTTCCCTACCCTTCATTACCAAGTCTCCTTGCCATTCCTATCCAAGTGCTCTCCACACCCACCTGCTTCCAGAGGAAGGTGTCACCACGGTTGAGTTGCCAGGCCAAGATCAAATGCAGCGTGGAGAGGCCCAGTCCACTGAGCACAGCAGCCCGCATGCGGATGGGTAGGAGTGTGTAGGTGATGTAGACGAAAAACACGGGGCACCAGAGGCCTGCCGAGGGGCTGTGCGGGTTGGCTGCCAGGGCACCCCCGACCTGCACAGCCGCCAGGATGCCCAGCACCACGTAACTCACCACCCACATGGAGTCCTGGCGGAAACTGTGTCGGTTACATACCACCATGAGTACCACAAAGAGGGTGGCAGCACAGGCCAGCAGGGCCACGTAGGCAGGCTGAGGGCGTGTGGGTGCTGCGTGGAAAATGAGCAGCACCACCATGAGCAGCACAAGCACCGCCATCAGCAGCGTCAGGCTACTCTGGTTCATCTGGAAGAAGTAGCGCTGGTACAGGCGCTCCAGCTTAGCTGAGCGGAACTGCTTTGACTGGAACACCTGCACCAGACGGCGCCAGCAGGATCTCCTGCTCCTGGGTGCCACATCAGGTGCCACCTCAGCTGTTCCAACTGCTGCTGTCACCTCAGTGTCCTCAAAGCCCAGGGCCACTGCCCGCAACCCCAGCTCCACGCCTTTGCCTGGGCCTGCCCTCCGGATGAAGGCCTCATCCTGCCAGGGGCACCGAGCAGGAGCTGCAGGGGTGGGGCTGGGTGGCTCTGCATCCTGGAGGCAGCTCATATAGTGGGGTGTACAGAAGCCACTGGACCGAGTCCCACGGCGTGGGCGCTTCTGCCCATTGCGTTCACCCCAGGCTGTTTTCCGTTCATCCACTTTGGGGACCAGGAGACCACTAAACCATGACATGCTGCTGGAAAGAAAGGCATAAGATGGTCTTAACAACACCATCAGGGGGGCTTCTGCCACTTGTAATAGTGCATCACCTGACCACTTCCCACAGCCCAGCTAAGCACTTCATATACATCATTCTCATAAAATTACTTTGAAGTAGGCAGTGGCATCCCCATTCAACAGGTGAGAAACCATGACACCAGGAGATGAAGAAACTTCCCCAAGATCCAGCAGCCACAAAAGTGCGAAAACCAAGATTCTAAGCCAAAGCCAGCATGCTTAACAATTCACCTCTCCCCTAAAGGCACTGATTTCCTGGTGGTCACAAACACAAGAGCACATGTCAAGGGGTGAAGCAACCCATAGTTCAGGAGAACTGCAAGGAATAGTCCATACCCTGAGCATGGAAGGCAATCACCACCTGGCACCACTAGATTACTGCCACTGGTGTCCCAGTGGGGCCAAAGCTTCTGACTTTTCAACAAAAACTATATTTAAATGCAACATCTGTTGATTTTTTAACACTGGCAACTAATCCACATTTTCTTTTTTTTTTTAAGAGAGAGTGAGAGAGGGG